TCAACTCGGCTCTAACAAGTCGGTACTGCCGAGCAGGTCGGCACGAGCACTTCTTATAAAAATCCCACACTTACCCACATTTCAACCCTATTTCAATAAAATTTCGGCCCGAACCCCGTTTTCTCTTCCGAAAATGTCATGTAACGTGTGGTTTGTGGGACTATTTTATTAACGAGCGAAAACGAAAAACGGAAAAATGCAAAAAACGTGCGTTGCCTCCCACAAAGCACTCAATTTAATGTCTTGAGCTCGACGTTCCCAACGAAAATCAACCGGGATCCAAGAAAAAATGTCGATCATGCCACGCCTTTGTGTTTTCCAAGAGTAGACGAGTCGGTAGTACCAAACAAAGACGGGCCAAATAAACTCTCGTGGCCGAATTCTTGTAAACCGAGCACGGATATCAACAACCACCAATAGAAGAGATGAATTTTTACGAACCGAGGCCCCCTACTCGACCTCCAAAAATATAAAAATATTCGTGGAGCACGTCGAATCAATCCTGGGCATCATTTGCATTATCTTGAACGTGTACTCATCAAGCTCAAGCATCGGGAGCACGGGCGTAGGCACACTAAACTCCTCCAAATGGTCACGGTCCTCAATAATACGAAACGACGACCCAAAGGACATAAGAACCACATCATACTCAACCTCACAAGTCGACTCATCAATCAAGGCACACCTCGGGTCCACGACATCACATAATGGCTCAAAATTCTCCTCAACTACATCCACAACATCATGATCCTCCGCATCCTCCTCCTTAAAATCATTCTCCCGAGCACTATCAACACCATTAAGCACAATCGAATCCCCAAAAGAATTCTCCCCCATACCATACACCATATCAACTCTCGAATCCATACACTCACTCTCAACAATAGAATCAAAGCTCAAAGCACTATCACCTAAAGAAAGAGTTGACGTACCTAAGGTGGATTGCACGGCTGAATCGTCGAGAAAGGGAAATTCTTTAACAATCAAATCATCGATGTCCTCACTCGTGTCGAGAGATTGAGTACCGTCATAAACGAGAGTGAGGTCCATCTCTTTCAAGGAGGCAAACCTATCCACCATAGCTTGAAATTCTCCCTCTAACCGAGTACTCTCTCGAATAATCCTCGACGATAGAAAACAATATCTACCAAGCAGAATGTTAAAGACGTCCAAATCATGAAAAGAGACTACGGTAGAGTCGAACTTCGTGAGTGTGAATTGAAGAACGAATGGAATGGGGATGCTCTTCCAACTATGAAACTCATCAATTATCGACATGAGGCTCGCAAGTGCCTCTTGAGTGCTTGCCAAAACATCTCGGTGACGCTCGGAAGGCACAACCGTGGTTGGAATTGAAGCTCCGATCCTCGGTGTACAAGGTTGGCCCTCCAATAGGTGTTCGTATGATGGAGATGATGGAGCATAGGACTCGGTTTCTTCCTTTTTGGATGTGGGAGCCATTGAAGAACGAAGGGATCAGTTGCACTACTCCAATTTCTCCATGATATCATCAAGATTGACTCGAGAAGCTTCTCAAGTCGGCTCGGGCAGAGGTATCATAAAAGTTGGGAGGCGGGGGATAGTAGTGAGGCATCTTGTCGTGTCCTAGAGAGTAATAACCGAAATCAGCTTGAGATGGCAGGTAAGAAGGGATCGGATAAGGAGGCCCTCCATACGAGTGTATTTCCTCATGGTAATTATCGGGGTATCCACGAGATGAGCTACCGGCATAAGAATAGCCGTACAGGTCCATCGGAGCTCCTCAAGCGAAGTACCTCGCACAAGAACAACAAAACAACATTAAAAAGGTTTTGGTTTTGGGTCAAGTATTCTCTCCTTCTGAAAGACCCACCCATTATCTCCTCGATCATTGACCCAAATGCTCTCTTCTCTCTCTTACTTTCTCTCTCTTAAACCCTCTTCTTCTTCTTCCTTCCTCCTCCCAATCCCTCCCTATTTTGCCCTCCGAACACCATCTTCATCTAGGTCTCGCCTGCGGCGAGCCGCCTGCCCGTGGGGCCCGGCTTTGCCCCGCCCCCTACCATTCTATCACCACTCCTTTCCACTTAGCCATGGCCGAACCTCCGAGAGCCGAGAGTCCGCCCTTCTCGATGTCCACACCCAACCCCCAAACTACGTCCTCCGGCGACCTCCACGCTAGACTCTCTTCTTGGTCCTACAACATTAAAAAGGTTTTCAGATCCATCCTTCAACCAATTGACCGACTCCATACTCGAGGGGGAGGACCGATGCCCTATGGTGGACCCCACCCTATAGCTCTTCCGTCAATCACCGGTCCGCTTGTGCCTTCAGCACCGCCGTGCGCAGGTGGTTCCACACCGGGAATTGTCTCAGCGCTGCCGCCCGTAGGTAGAACTTGTTGGTGTTATATACTTAAGCTTTGCTTTAGTGGATATTACACTTGTTATTCCTTGATGAATGAGAATTATGTTTGGTTAAATAAGTTCCACGTTCTGTTGTTTT